AATAGGCATCATCATATGTTCGGGAGCCATATGCCATCACCAAGGCCATTGCCAAATGGCACCAAAACTTATTGGGCTCAAAATTTACAATTCAAACCGACAAGAAGAGCAACCACGAGTTGATGTGCCAGTTCATCCAAACTCGTTATAAACAACGATTCCTAGCCAAATTACTAAGAGATGAATTTAATATTGAATACAATGCTAGACAATTCAAATACATGTTGAAGGCTCTGTCAAAAGATGCATGAAGATGACACTTTCAAAAATCAACAAGCTCAACTCCCCACATTAATTACAAGACCATTGTCCGCAATGCTTTGCACACTCTGTGAAGAAACATTGAAGATGATGTAGAACTAAATGTTTTAAATGAATGAAATGAGAATTTTGCACGATTCTTTGATTAGAACAATAAGGATTAAACCAATAGCAATTAAAACGACAAAAATAAAATAAGAGAAGGGTGCCTACGCTTAGGCCAAGCCGCTGGCTAAACACTTGGAAAATCAAAATAACTCAGAGATTCAATAACATGCTAAGTTAATAGGCTTCAACAACATCTCTAATCTAACAATGAGATTATAAGTAATAAAATGCACTTAATCCCTACGTTTATTAGGCTTGGCAGAGTTTGGTGAACAAGATCTTCATGAATCTATCAAATCATAAGAATAAGTTAGACAATGAAAATATGAGGCGAGGGAGATGGGCAAATTCTTATCATGGTTGTGTTGCAATACTCCACTGAACGGTGCCAAGTTGTTCTTCAATGGCCTCGACAAGGGTGTCCAGAATGCGCTCTACGTACTCTTCTACGGTGTTGTCGATGCATGGGTTGACGTCGAAAAAGGTCGAGTGAAGGATGCAAATAAACCCTTGGTTCATCGTAGGCGAGACCGTAGTCAAGATCTGGATCGGCCATGCATGTCCTTTGGAGGTTGAGATGTTGACGATCGAAGAGGCTTCCCTTGAAGACTCCTCTTGAGATGGAGGAGATAATCTAGAGAAATCAAGAGGGCAAAGGGGATGAAGGTGGCCAGCCAATGACGAGGGCAAGGGTGGGAGATTTTGTTCAGATTTTGGGAGAAGAGATGGGGGAATGAAGATTCAAATGCTTCCTAATTATCCTCTCGATTGGGGAATAATTAAGGAAGATAAAGAAAGAGATAGGGGGCGGGCAAGGGGAGAGAGAGAGGGTTAATTTAATTTCATTAGGAGAGACTCCCTTTTGGAAAGAAATTAAATCAATGGGAGCATAAGGATTTCAGCCAAGGAGAGAATAGGGGATTTGGAATTATTTCCAAAGTAAAAAATTGGGTTATAGGAAAGATTTCCTATTCCAATCATATAGGGGGGGCGGCGGCAATAATGGGGAAGAGGGATTTAGGCAAGTGTTAACGCTTGCTTAAATTTGGGAATTTAAATTAGGGAGGAGAAATTAAATCTCCCTTTAATCAAATAGTGATTTGAGGATGAGATTTAAAACTTTCATAAAATAGATTTTGAATTTCAAATCACTTGAATTTGAATTCAAAGTTATTTCTAATTTTATGCAATCTAAATTAGGAAATAAGAAAAAAAAAATAAGGGGACAAAACTCAAAGGGGCCGGCGGCTAGGGTGGGGGTGGCCGCCGGTTTTGGTGGTGGGGTGTGGTTGGTGGGTGAAGAGCAGAGGGATTCGATGAGGTAAAGGCTTGACCGTGGGTGGGTAAAGCGGGTAGTAGGGGCCGGTGGTGATGGTGGGGGAAAGGAAAGGGAAGAGATAGTAAAACCACGAATCCGACTCATCTAGGTTGGTGGGTGATGTGCAATCCTCCCTCTCCTAGGGATCTCACTCTGATTTCTCAAGCACTCTTAAGAACTTAAAAAAAAAAGTGGAAAATTTTAACATTCAATCATTCATTAACATAAAAATCTGAACAATCACATGAAATAGGCCTCATCATATGTTCGGGAGCCATATGCCATCACCAAGGCCATTGCCAAGTGGCACCAAAACTTTTTAGGTTCAAAATTTACAATTCAAACCGACAAGAAGAGCATCCAGAGTTGATTTGCTAGTTCATCCAAACTCCTTATAAACAAGGATTCCTAGCCAAATTAATAAGAGATGAATTTAACATGGAATACAATGCTAGACAATTCAAATACATGTTGGATGCTCTGTCAAAGATGCATGAAGATGACACTTTCAAAAATCAACAAGCTCAACTCCCCACATTAATTACAAGACCAATGTCCGCAATGCTTTGCACACTCTGTGAAGAAACATTGAAAAATTCTAAAATTTATACAACTTCAACAAAAGGTGGAGTGCAAAATGGTTTGATTCGAAAGCAAGGACTTCAACACCATTTGCAAAGACTCATTTGCTCGAATTATATCACATAGAAGTCATTACACTTCATTTATGCACATTTCTTTTGGCTACATGTGATATAGTTTGTTATCGACTTTGTTCAAAGTTGCCCAATGTGCCAAGAAACTAAAAAATAGCTCCTTGCACTTGCTGGCTACTCCAACTATTTGTGATCCCAACTATGGCATGGGATGATATCACCATGGACTTCATTGAGCGACTTCGTCTAATATAAGGAAAATCCACTATCATGGTTGTTGTCAACCACTGACAAAGCCCATTTTGCTACAATGCAACCCTAGCTCTTTGCCTTCGAGGTGTCTCTATCTTCATCTCAAAAATTTTTCATCACCATGACATGTCAAAAACAATCATCTCCGAATAAGATTGCCTTTTCTAGTGAGGCTTTTGAAAAAAAAATATTAAAGGAGCTTGGCACCAAGCTATAATTAAGCACAACCAATCATTCGGAGGAGCATGAATAATCGGAGGTAGTTAATAGGGGTCTAGATTACTATTTATATTGTCAAATAATGAAGAATCAACAAAAGTGGCCAAAATTTAATCCATGGGATGAATTCTCCCACAATACCTCCCTACATTCTTCTAGTGGTAGGATACCATACAAAGCCTTACACAGACGTTCGCTGCCTCCCATACATCCACACTTGGGGCGTACCATGGAACCCCTTGACATTCACAAATGGATGCTTAAATAAGATAAGGTATTATGCAATTCATGCAACTACTTCGCATGGGCACAACATCGCATGAAACAATAAGCTGAAAAAACATGAAAGAGACATCGAGTGGGCCATCTCATTCTCATTAAGTTCCAATTGTATTGTCAAAATTTCCTCAAGAAAGACCACTATACAAAGTTGTGTCGGTGCCTTGGTGGTACTTTTATCCCTTCACGGTGTCAAAATAAATTGGACTTATTACATGTAAACTCAACAACCACATCATTCTAAAATCCATCCAGACTTTCATATGACCTTATTGAAAACATGCAAGGAAAACACAACTATGCATTCCAATTCACTTCCACAAGAAACATGGCAAGATCACCCGGTACTAAAGCCAATCCACAACCTGCAATGATGTCAAATCCCTTAAGATAACAATACACAACAACAAGTCCTAAAATGGAATGGTGTTCCCCTTAAGGATGCAACACAGATTGACGAAAACAAAGTACATGTTACATTTCCAAACCTCCACCTTGAGGACAAAGTCATTCTTCTGATGAAAATGGGAATTGATATAAACACACCTTGTGAGGTGGAGAAAAACATGAACGAACATATCACAAGTAGCCTTTGATGATCCAATTGAGGATGAACCATACCAATGTGAATGAAGGATTACCTAGGTGAACAAAAGCTAACGAAGGGGTCGATACAAATGTAATAAAATGAGCAAAAAAGGGATATTCTAGTTTCTATAATTAATTTGATAGATGCTCAATTTTTATTGCTCAAGCTATTAAGGTTATTAGCAATAATGGGCATTTGTCATTATTTGGGTAAGTAGATGAGGGTTGCAATCCTTGGGGGGGTGGGTGGATATAATGGGTTATGTCCCTGCTTCAAAATTGGAATGAATTATCTTATATCAACTCACTCTTCCTCCTCTAATGTCCAATTTGCTTCTTACCATTCTATGATTTCGTTCATCTTCTTCCATTGAATTTTTCCTTCTTCCTTAACCTCCTCTTGCTACAGCTAGGCGTGTAAACAAATTGAGTGAAACTTGAGACATGCTTGTCTTGAACTTGATTAATTAATCGAATTTGAGGTCGAGCATAATTCTACAAGTTAAAGTCGGCTAACGAGCCAGCTCATTTATTATGTAAGGAAAAAAATGATCCTAACCGAAATATTTTTTGCAGTTAAATGATAAAAAAAAGTGAGAAATTAGATGATAAACAATGATAAATCACTTAATATATTGAAGTGATATATAATTTTTAATTATTTTAAACAACTTTATACTTAAAACTTGAATTATAATATATTATAAGTGTAATTTATATTAATATTTAGTAATCAAACTAGCTCACTTGCTAACAAGTTAAGTCAAACTTGGCTTGAAGTTGACTCGTTAGCTCATTGAGCTAGTTTAAGAGTCATTCATCGAGACGAGCCAAATCTAGCTCATGAGTTGGCTCGGCTCAATCACTCCCCAAGCTAGAACCACTGTTCAGCTTCTAATCACTGATCATCCCTCATCAGATGCTCATCCATGCATCTGAAAACAGGGTCTTTATACAATTAGACCAAAGCATTGAGCCAAAATAGCCAAGCAAGCACGCGAGAATTTTGACTAAAATCAGCAGTCCCATAAACATTGAAAGATGATCATTTCTACAAAAAATTATTTTGAAGCATATCCCGGGCAATTTTTATTAAAAATTTATAAACGTCCTAATCTTAAACGCAAGCACGCGAGAATTTTGACTAAAATCAGCAGTCCCATAAACATTGAAAGATGATCATTTCTACAAAAAAATTATTTTGAAGCATATCCCGGGCAATTTTTATTAAAAATTTATAAACGTCCTAATCTTAGCCAAATCTGAAGATTATTTTCGGATACATTTTAAAATAATACGGATTAGAATATGGCAGATACCTCTGAATCAGGCTATGGCCCCTGCTTCCCATGATCAGCGAGTCCAGCTTCAGATCCTCAACGGCCTCGCATAGCTTCTCCCTTGCGTCCCCCCAGTAAATCTTGAGCACGATGTTGGCCTGCTTCGTAGTCACGTCATAAACTAAACTCACAAAAAGAAGGTAAAGAGGGCGGAAGAGGGTGGAAGGAACCTGTTTCTGCCTCGAAGCAGTGTCGAGCAAATCGAGCACTTCAATGTTGGATTGCACACCATATTTCTTCATGAACTCAGGTTCCCGAAACTCTGATAGTGGTATCAGAGCTGAAGCTCGCACATAGATTTCCGATTAGCATTCAATCAAATACATAAACTGCAAGAAAATAATGATAGATAGGAAGGATTGCAGAGAGCATACGAGATCCGGATCGGGAGCCGGCGCTGTTTTTGGACTCATCGGACTTGGATGGTTGGACATGGACGATGAAAAGAGTATCTCCTTCGTCCAGGAGGTTGTCGACCCCCCATTGAAGTGCCCTAATGCTGCCCTTCGAGAAGTCCAAGGCTACCCCGATCTTTCGATCTCCTCCCATCTTCTTCTTCTTCCTCTTTCCGTGGCTTCTCAGATAAAACTGCTTGCCTTTGTCGTATTTAATTTTGTTGTGTACTTGAGAGTTGAGATTATAGTGGTGGGCACTGGGCACTGGGCACCGGGAAATACAAACGGACAAGTAACACGATGAATTTTTAATAATTTATATATTTTTGTAAAAATATTTTTAAAATATGATAAATTTTTATTACTTTTCGAAATTATGATTTACATCATAAATTATCTGATTTGATTCCCTGATTATAACTATGAGCCACGTGATTAGAGTAGTACAAGAATAATAGCGATATCGAACTTTTTTTCAAGCACAAAATTATATAATTTCTTTCTTAATATTATGTAAAGATTTATATAAGTAGATTTAATAGCTTATGAATTTATATTCTAATATAATATAATTTATGAGTACGATATTTTGATTAAAAATTTTAAATTAAAAGTTATTAAGTTTATACAAAATTAATATGTTTATATATAATATTCATTTATAATCCAATATGAAAACCACGTCCCAAATCAGTTCAAAACGAGTCAGGCCTGGCCACGTGCGTTACCTCGGGCGTAGCATCTTGTTATATGACGGCGTTAAAGACTTGGCAGAAAAGGAACGGACAGCTGTGATGAGCTGCCAGGTTTTCACGGGATGTGCTACCTTTGTAATTAATGCTAAAAATTAAATTAGAGAGCATTTTCAATTTTTCAAATGTCATAATTATCTTTGGTCTGTCAAGTCGCCGCATGTATATATATATGTCAAATTTTGAGAAAGGTAATTTAAAAAAAAATTTAAGGATAAAAAACGGAAAATGAAGGATAAAAAACGGAAAATGGATTCGGGTTTTGTAAGAAAACGTTAGACAGAGAATATATTTATAAAAAAAAAAATGTTTACGTTTTTTATAGAAAAAACAAAATAAAATTTTTAAAAATTTAATTTTAATTTGTCTTCTTTATAAAGAAATTAATATTTAAATTTTAACTTAATATAACATTTTTTTATTAATTAAGACTTTATCATTTATTTGATATATTGTTTGCATAAACCTGTCACATTATGTGAGTTGTATAGTAGTAATGTCCAATCAATTATTATTGTAGTAGATTAAATAAATTAGGTATAATATTAATATATATTATATTTATTAATATGTATAAAATATTTTTACTTTGACTATTGGCATTTAAAATTTTGATCATTAGTAAATTATTACTTACAAGAAAAAAAATTTAAATATTATACAAAATTATATTAGACAATATTAATATATTTGTACTTGTTGCGTCCTGGAATATTTGCGGCAGTAGAGAAATAAAAAGTTTAATGTCTTAGCATTGTACGAAGATCCAACACACAAGTAGATAAGAGAGAGGGTGTAGCGTTCATAAGAGACATCAGAGTTTTTAACGTGGAAACCTCTAAAAATGTGGAAAAATTACGGGGCCTGGCCCAATTTGAATGAATCCACTAGTATTTGCAGCCAATTACAAATAAGGCCCTTCCTTGGGAGAAAGCCTTGGCTTGATGTCACAAATGTACATCGTATAGAGCACATTATTACATGGTGGGAGTTACAATAATCAACACAGACATGTTTGTTTGGTCAGCATGATCATAGTTGATAAGATAGAGGTCGGAAAGATCGTAGTTGGCAGGAGACCGGGGTAAGAAAGACCGTTCTCTGGTGATGGAGGTCGGAATGACCATAGTAGGCGACGGAGGTCGGAAGGATCGTAGTTGGCAGGAGACAAGGGTCCGAAAGACCGTAGTTGGTAGGAGAACGAGGTATGAAAGACTGTCGACTGGTGATAGAGGTCGAAAGGACCGTAGTCGATAGGAGACAGGGGTTCGAAAGACCATAGTTGGTAGGAGATCGGGTTCAGAAAGACCGTAATTATAGGGCAGAACTCCAGAAGAATTCTAGGCATCAGGTGGTGGCCTAGCAAAAGTACGAGCCTCAAGTGGTGGTCCGGCAGAAGTTTGAACCTCATGTGGTGGTCCGACAGAAGTTTAGGCCTTAGGTGGTGGTCTGGCAGAACTCTGAGCATCAGGTGGTGGTCCAGCAGAACTTCGGGTGTTAGGTCCAACAGAAGTCCGAGCCTAAAGTGGTGGTCCGGGAGATGTCTGGGCCTCAAGTGGTGGTTCGGTAGAAGTCCGGGCCTCAAGTGGTGGTCCGGTAGAACTCTGGGTATCAGGTGATTTTCATGTAGAACCCAGGGCCTTAAGTGGTGGTTCGGCGGAGCTCAGGACCTCAAGTGGCGTTCCAGAAGAACTCAGGGCCTCAAGTGGTAGTCCAGCGGAGGTGAGGGCCTCAAGTGGTGGTCTGGCGGAGCTTAGGGCCTTAAGTGGTAGTCTAACGGAGCAACGACGTAAGGTGGTGGTCCGACGGAGCAACGACGTAAGGCGGTGGTTCAACGGAGCAACGACGTAAGGCGGTGGTTCGGCGGAGGTGAGGGCCTCAAGTGGTGGTCCGGCGGAGCAACGACGTTAGGCGGTGATCCGATGGAATTCAGGCGGTGGTCGATGAGGAGCGAGGAGGCAAGAGCGATCTCCGATCTCTCTCTTTCTCTCTTGCTTGGAGCCCCTTCCTTCAAGAGAAAGGAGGGGCCTATTTATAGATTTTTTGAGTGGCATAGCTCGTAAATAGATGAGAGATCAAAGGTAAATGGGGAGTGGTTGGATGGACGACCGATATTAAATCCCTTGATCATGAACCATTCGTCAGATATTTGAAGGTCTTAATGATGTTGGAATTTAGCGATCTTAGGCTCGTTGGATTTGTCTCGTCAAGCCGCTCGATTCGACTATAAGCACGTAATATTTGGAAACCGTTTGGTAATCCAAATTGTGGTTTCAACCTTCCAACTACGCTTCGGGTCTTGATTTGGACTCATTTGGGCTCAGATTGAGTCGAATTTGGTGTCGTTGTGTTCGTATTTTCGAGACGTTCTGTTTGACTATAAGTTTGCTGAAATCAAAATTCATATGATCCCAATTTTAATTTTGATGTTTCCAACTTGATTTTGCTTTGAGATTCGTGCCTGATCAAGATAGTTTTTTGATGACGTATCAGTACTATTTCATAGTACAAAGTTAGATTAATAATACTCGCTATTTTAATTTAATGAGAATAAAATAATTGTATACTTATATGTGATAATTATTTTAATTTACATATAGTTATTTTAAATAAAAAAATATTACATATAATTATAGTAGGAAATATATATATTTAATTTTGAATTTATATTTTGGAATATATTATCAGTTTATTATTAAATATATAAAATTGAACTGAATTTAGTTAATGAATGAAAAATAAATTTAATTTATAAAATAAATCAGCATAATTCAATTAAGTTAAAATAATTAGATTTGCACTCATTAAAATTAATAAAATAAATCTACAATATGCATAATTATATGTAATATTTAGTTTAATTTAGATATAAATATTAATTTAATTAGAATACACCATAATTATATTATGTATGAAAAAACTTATCTCTGAAAACTTGGACTTAACTCCTCAGTTATCTCTCCAAATTTCCTCTCTAATTTCTCTCAACCTGTGGTGCTCTCCTCGACTGAAATTCGGTTCAACTTATTTGAATATTTGAATCTCTGCAGAATGTATGGTTAAGTTAGTTTAAATTTTATAAAAATATAAAATATCTATCAAATCAAAATTGAATAATGAAAAAAAAAAATTGATTGTTGAGTAGTGAAAATTAGTTGTTTTTTTATTGATCAAATAATTTTTTATAAATAATCAATTAAGAATAATTAAAGTTGGTGTAAGTTGGTTTGGTTGTTAGCATTTTAAATTTTAAATAACAATAATTCAAAGTATTATAAGGTTATATTAGGATGGAAGGAAGCTAAAAATTTAGAAGATTGAATGTGTATGTGACAATGATCATGAACTCCCATTAATATTAATATTAGTATTTGGGTAAATTTGAGAATTATCAAACTTGATGAATATTTTGATTTAACATCAATGTTATCTTAATGATCATAAGCAAGAAATTCCCAATTTTTACATAAATAATCAAAAAGAAAAGAATCATGAAGTACAACAAAGTTGAAATAATTTTACTAGTAGCAGACAAGAATTTTAAAACGTCACATCTTCCTAAATAGGAGAATAAGTTAGTACATAGCCTACGAAAGACTAATATTTTGCAAGTATCCATAGTGATTATGATATAAGGAGGTCGAGGGATTATAGGAATGGCCAAATGATCCTCATCTTGGAAGTGGATGTGCCAAGATCATAGGGTAGTACAATCCAAGGCCTCTTAGTTGGTAGCCTAAGTTCCCAACCAACATACCAAGATGAGCTGTGTAAATTTAAAAACACTGGCTCACCTCCTTTTTTTTTGGAGAAAACTCATGACTTGTAAAAATTACACGTTAATACTTGTAAGAATTACATGCCCCTAAAGAATTAGAATCTCGCTAAAATAACAACATTTTAAATAAAACTTGAGAGCTTGAGATCCTATCTATTACAGGAAAAGAAAAGCAAAGCAAAGCAAATAAGAAATACAATAAAATCCAAAAAAGAAAGTCACCAACATCAGTAAGCATCCAAGTCAACATCCCAAAAATGACTAATAGAAATAATCAAATGACCAGGAAGCATTCCATTTTAGGAAGGGAATAACATGCAAAACATACGAAGCAAAATAGAGAAGAGGAAGGAGATAATCATCTCCCCCAGCCCCAACACCCAACCAACAAATAACCGATCAAATAGCAACCAACAACGAAATACCATAAAGCGAAGATAAATCCACTTAACAACACTAAATAGAGCTACTTTCTAGATTTTCTTTGACGACGTTTACAGCAACACAAGAAAGCTTTCTCAACAACTTGACAAACATCTAAACCATACAAGTCATAACAAGAATCATCCTGCACATCACCAACATCATCACTCACCTCATCATGCGAACAATGAGACCCTTCAAGCCAACCTGAATGCCCAATATAAGTAATCCCCAAATTGGAAACAAAACGAGCATTCAAAAATGT